TGAATATATTTGAAACATATATTTTTTATTGAACTTGAACATTTATTTATACCTCGGTTTACGGACAACAAAATTCTATAGCACAACATTTTGGGCCCATTATAAGAAATAATTTTTCAAATAATAGTTGATTTAAATAAGGTTCCATGCAAATTAAAACTTCAAATCTTTTGCTTCCAATTTTTAAAATATTTGAATTATTCAATGACAAATATTGGATATGCGTTTTACGCAGCAAAATGTTATCAAAAATTTTTACGTTGAAAAGGGGAGGTGTGTGTCTTAAATGAGGATGCATGGTACTCGAGAAAATCTGGTCAATGGTAACATAATTTTAATCATCTCCTGTCCAAATCTTTTACAGTTAAACCTATGTAAGTCAAATTTCTAGGGACCAGGAAAAAATAGACTTAGGGAGGATTCCAGTTGAGGAAACAAACACTTTTTTTGTGAGGAGGAGTAAAAAAAAAGTGTGGGAAATCAGAAATGAGGCTAATCTTGGACTAAACTTGCTCCTTGATGAGTTTACACCTTTCTGAACTTGGAGGCAGGGGTTCATTTGCTATATTTGTCTTTCACTTCCTTTCAAGACGCATCAAATTATTTGTTTTACTCATTTTCTCTTTCATATTTAAAGGAAATAATAACCAGAAGGCCTCAGAAAATTCGACTTATGAAGGTTTTAGAGAAAAAGACTGCAAGTTAGTGAGGTTTTCCATGTATTGGTTCTAAGGGAATTCAGACAGGGACTTGAAAAAAATTTGACTTATGGAGGAATTTGACTTTGGGTGGTTCAACTTATCAAGGTTCATCTGTACCAATATCAGAAAACATACCTCTGTATTAAAATAATCTCTGGAAAGGGGCAAGTGTTGCTCAGTGTTTTCATACAAAATTAGGTTTGAACCCTCGTTTTAAATTATACACACGCTCTTCTGGTGTACCACACCTACTGCAGATGGGTACTGAAGAGTCTTTCAGGACTCACAGGCAAAACGTGTACAGGGTGCTTCAAGATGCGGATCTCCTGGTAATGAGTGGAATAATGGTTGTCCCGGTTGATGTCCGGCAGCTGGACGCCGTTCCTGGAGTGTGTCGTCCACACGCGGACGCCAGTCAAGTGCGTGTGAAGCTGCGACGCGAATACTCTGATCCCGTCCTTTGGCAACCCCTTTTTTGGAGAGTACAGAACAGCGATGCAATCAAGTACTGTACTGTGATTGCAAATGTAATCAATCAACAGGTTTGAGAGGCGTTCATCAATGACCCCAAGATGCAAAAGTAATTGTTGCTTGAACCTTGTCCGTAATATTTCAGAATTTATGCATATTGCAGACCTCATTTTCCAATAAACTTCAACGAAACTATTTTTAATTCATTAGATCAATAATTGAGAAAAAAGTCCTCCAAAAATTGAAAGGAAAAATTTTTCTCAACTTTAAGATACAGAAAATGAGTGCACAGAAGAAAACCACGCAGAATCCGATCTTTTCACATCAAGAAGCAAAGAACAAGAACAAGTCTAGCTATGCTGTTGTGCACACATGATAAAGAACATTGAAAGTAAGACTCTAAGAATTAGCCCGTTTTTGGTTATGAATTTGGTTTACTTGATTAGGAATTTTTAGCACTTAAGAATGTAAATAGCAGAATTTCTTCAATGAAAAAAAAAATGCAGGAAATAAAATTTTCGAATTTTTCTAGAAATCTTGGAAAAGTGTCCTTATCAAGCAAAAATTCACAAGAAATTGGTCATATTCGAAAATTGGTAACACGTTGGATATAATATTCCTTGATCGAGCATTCAATTCATCTGTGATATCACCTTCTCCATGTAAGGACTCCCGAAATATTTTGCTCTGAAGAGCTCTTCGGATTTGAACAGACCTAACAAAGAAAAAAAAACTTGACCAGATTGTTGAGTGTGTCCGGAAAGTCATATGTACTGTAATTAAAATTGTTTCAATCAATAACATGAAAAAAAATAAAATTTTGCAAAATTTCCTTCCTCGTATTTTATGATTACCAGGAACTTTTTTTACTTGCTTCGTTTTTTCTTGCTTCGACATTGTGTAGTTGAATTCAATTTTGACACGCTGAACGGCCCCGGCGCCACCAAAAAGTAGGACAATGTTGCTCTCATCTTCTCGTGACTACATTACCCATGTTTTTGAAGGTACTAAAAATTTCATTACACAAAAGGAATCAACTGTGGATACTAATCCACTAGGGATCCACTAGGATTAAACTGCGGATAATGAGGTCACTCCATATGCAGCTGAGTTAAAATTGTCTTTATTGCTTGGAGCCGTCTCGGAATAATTTTGAAGGCGAAAAATATATCGTAGAAAACTTGATGCTTCTGACTCAGAACAAATTTCCAGACTCAAAAGGTCACCTTTAAAATTTTGACGCTTGCATCGATCACTAATATGATTGATAAACCATAGTCCACAGATTCATTTTGAGTTTCCCGAGCGAATCATGAAAAGCATACTGTTTCATGGAGATGACGAAAGCAACCAAATCTGGGAGCTAAAAAAAGTGAAGGACACCATGCTCAATTTACAAGAGAAAGTTGCTGAGAAGTGAGGATACTTTATTTGAAACATGAATTTGATAACATAATTTTGCAGAAAATACGATCCCTTATTCAACGATATACTTGATTTGATTCAAGTGATACGGAACCTCATTCGAAATCGACATTCCTAAAAAATCGCCCAACCCTCGAGAGACTCAAAGATTGGAAATACCTGTACTCTCCGATTGATTTAATCGAACGCATTGAAATTTACAAAAAATCTAATTGGAATGGTTCGGAATAATCGCGGACTCATATTCCGTGAATAATTCAAGCACTTCACAGTGTAGACCAGGCAAGCTGTGCCTCATAAGCCGAGCCAAGAAAGCTCATTTGAGATGGAACACTTTTGAAAACAAAAAATTGATTGGCTCTCGGGAGATTAAAAGCGGTTTAACGAAATTTTAATGTAAAGTACTTCACCAAGCTTGAGACGCATCTTAATTTTCCAGTCCCTCAAGCCGAAGAAATTTTTTTTTTTGTTAATTCGGATGTGCATCGTCATCTTCTTCTCAGTACGAAAAAAATCTTGGTGTGGGCAATGTCTCAAGATACCAACAATTCACAAAATTTTACAGAAAAATTCCAACAAAAATGACATGTTTTGAGCAAAAGTGAGATGTTTTGAGCGCAAATTCAGCTACTGTACCACCATTAATATGAATTCAAAATAAAATATTAAAACGTACTCTAGTTCATTTTTCAAAAAAAAAAAAAATTTTATCATTCTCATTTCTGTACTTTTTAAATGTATGTGTACAGCAGTACAGCAATACGACTGCCTATTTTTGGCATTCGGAATAATTTTCTTGCTAAAAAGGCAGATTCTATGCAGTTTTGCTCTCCACAAGTTTTTTTTTTGTGCCTAAAGGTTATGAAAAAATATCTTCATTTAATTTTTGTCGGGGTTTTTCGGTTTTTTTTTTTCAACGTGACAATTGATTTTAAAAATGCTCATTGAAATTGAAGGGAAAATGTTCTTTGACTTGTCGACATATAGAAATGGTTTGAGAATTAGTGGAGTCCGGAACTTCTTTTTAAAAGTTTAAATTTTACAATCTATAGAACTACCTACATACTGCATAGCTTGAAAACAAGAACTCAGTTTTTCTTCGTTTTCCATCCTTTCTGAAACACAGCTCCGATGGAGGACCACCTGCAATCTGCAGTAGATTAAAAATGATGCCTAATATTTTACCAAGTAAATGCCAACCTCTCTTCTTTTCATTGTACATACAATTTCAGGAATTTTAGCAGATCTCTTTTATTGTTTCATACCAATGAATAAAGAATGCGTGCTTCCTCCAGATTTGTCTTCCTTTGAACTTCCTGTGCTGCGTGAAAAAGCAGGGTTCAATTGTTCGAATGTGGCGAACTGCGTTTTAGGTGTTACCATTTAGAATTGCTTTGGGCAACACTGGGTAAAATCTTTACGGTTGTTATGTACAGTAATTGTACACCATCATTAATCAGGAAAGCACCGTTTTTTTTTTCCAGACCATGCACATCCGAATCATCCAAACTTTTTTTTTCTTCAACTTGAGGGGCTGAAAATTAAAATGCGTCTCAAAATTCTGTGGAACTCCACAAAAGTTTTTTTGCCTGTCCGCAGGAAACTTTCAGCATAATGACCTCATTCAAAAAGTAGCAATGAAGTCTGCTCTCTTAAAATGCAGAATTTTGGAATGAGAATGTAAGTTTAAATTATCTCATGAAAAATAAAAGTTGGCTTTTCTCTTTTTAATGCATCATACACCTGCTTGAATAAATATTTTCAATTTAGAGACATTCCTTCAAGCCCATATTTTTAATTTTTTGAAGACATTCCACTATAGCTGTTTCAATGGTTCATAACTTAATTTTTCAAAGCAGAAACTTTTTAAATACGCGCCATAAAGTCTTAATGAAACTTTTTCAAGTCTGCCATAAAAAAAGTCCATAAACAATTTTATGGGCTTTTTTTCTGGCTCAAAAGGCTGTGGAACACTGGTTTAGACAACTTTTATATTCAACTATAGAAAAGCCTGGAGTACCACAGGCAGCGAGTCCCGAACACGCGCAGAAATTTCATACATAAATTCCGCTCGCTTCGTCCCTACATGGCAAAACCTGGAGCAAATACTGTAAATTTCTGGAGCACCCGAAGGAATATTGGAAGAAGACGAATAGTGGAGGGAAGTTCTGGAAAAAACCCCAGGGAATTGATCATTTCCGCTGGCAATCGCGGCTCGGCCTTTCAATTCCAAAGCGGTGCTTCATCGGCAGTCAATGAATGCGACTCCTGCTGCATCACTCACCCAAGACCCGTTAGAAACACTTAATCCGTTCCTCGCCGAGGATAAGAAAAAGAGGGGGAAATAATACCAACACGCATAAATCTAATTGCCCGGTGAGTAAATCTTCATTGCCATTGAATTGCTGATTCACGAACGCATTCGCATTTCTCACGGCCCGAGTTATATTGGCAGTCGGGGAAAAAGAAATGTTCGACGACTGTTGCGTGCCTCGGGCCTCGACTTTCGGATTATTTGCACGAGATGTAGTCGTCGAAGCACCACGTGGAACTGCGATGGTATTGAAGCAACGAAGCTCAGGTGAATTTGCATGCAGACTATGGCAGGGCTTATCCTCGTGCTAAAAAGGGGAAGCTTAACAGCAATCTGCGTAATTCGATATGCAAGGATCCGTATTCTTCTGGTACTCTCAAAGTACAACAAAGGTGTGGTAGTGGCCAACCCAGAACTCGGAAATGTTACGCAGAACCGAACAAATCCTAGAAACAGTGATTGGCCAGTCATTCTTTATTCTTATTCATTAGCTGTAAGATTAAACCAAAAGTTGGACACAAAATTGTCTCTGACTCCACCGTGTATGTGTTGCTTGCTAACCTCTGGAAATGATAATGGCTTTAATTACTTATACTGAGTTGCAATGATGAAAAATGGATAATCTTTGTTATACTGTATCTACAATTAATTTGAACTAAGTGCTTCTTAAAATCAAATATTTGGATTAGATTTAGTGAGTTAGACCAATGTTCCCCAACCTTCTTTGGGCCCGCGGACCTGCAAATCTCCAAAAAAAATTTGCAGACCAGCAAATTTTCCACAAATTTTCTGTGGAACGGCAAAGTTTTGTAAAACTTTTGCGGACTCAAAAGTTTTGCGTGAAAGACTTCATGGCAGAGATTTAAAAAGTTTCTGCTTTCTTTTGCAAAAATTAAGAACCAACGGAGCAGCTATAATGTGTAGTGGAAAGTCTTTTAAAAAATAGAAAGGTGGGCTTGAAAAAAGGTTTCTCAGAATGAAAAATGAAAATAATTTATTTCTGCTGGTAAATATTTTCTGAAGTGTAATTAGGAGGAAGGTCAATTACTGTATTTTCAGATAATTTCAACTGCCATTGTCTTTCTGAGATTTCAGATATGGATAAATAACACCATTGCTGATTTTATTAATGTATGAGGCTGCAGAAAATTGCCCATGAGCTGGCGTCATTTTGCGGGATACGGGTTGGGATTATAGAGGCTTTGTGCAAAATGGAGGTAATGCATTTACAATTATTTTTGTATGCCAGGATTTTGTTAAGCAAAGCATAGCTTCCCTCAAGTAGTAATTTTTTTTATTCCATTCTACAAAAATTTCACAAAAAATCATTGACAGACGTCTGCCAACGAGAAGTTTCATATATTCCAATATACTGTACACTGTGTCCATTCCAACAAGCATCAAAATAAGATTGTTGGTTAAAATGCGGTTCTTTGAATTAGAAGCCATCCTGACGATTTCAAGGCCTCGAACTTCTCGGTTTCACAAATTGTGGGTGTTATATAAAACCCAAAATTCTCTTATACAGTATTTTATTAATACGAACATTTTTTCTCGAGTTCAACCTATAGACTTGATCCAATTCATCCATTTTTTGGTCAGAAATGGGCATTGTGCAGAAATTTTGTTTGCATGTAATGACTTTTTACTCGTGCATTTTTTTTAAATTCACCCTTCATGCATGTCATACTTTGTGGGGACTCGATATAATTATTAGATTAAGGTAATTTATCTTCATCAATTGGGTTGGGTTAGTCAGAAGCGTTAGGTAGGGGCACGCATTACAAAACCTTTTTGATTTCACTGTGTATTCTGAAAAAAGTGGAGACTTCTTTAAAAAGTTATTGAGGGAAAAATCGAAAAGTCTGTTCTTTTTAGACGAGTGGCATCGTAAATCGTGATACTGTACAACGGTACGGTATTTTTTTTACGAGGATCGAGTCTCGCGACGGTCGGCAGGTTAATCCTAGCAAAGACGTCGGGTTGGTCCGAACTTTTTCATCACCCTAAATTCTGCTGGAATTTCTTCATTCGCTTTACTGCGTCTCCCATCCTGCTCTTGATGTTTTCGCATTTTCCCCCGTATCTTTTGCTTTGTGTTTTTTGGACTTGTGAAATTATGAAACGGCGGATTACGGTTCTTGTGCTGGGTCACGACGAAGCACGGAGACGTGCATCCATGCATATGGGTCCTTGAAGAAATGAAATTGCACCCTGAAGATCTGCTCTCTCTCTCTCTCTCTCGCCTTCTTTATTCGTGGAAAGATAGATCTTTTTTTTTGTTTCTGCCTCGGAAATTTCAAGGTGAAGCAATGAAGCCCGTGATAACTCACGATCGCTGTGCATTCCGCGATGCAATGACCTCGCACGAAAACGTCCCGCATGCGAGGAGGAAGACCCGTTTTAGGCGTGTATTCCAGCCCGACTTCCAGAATGCCGGCGTCGAAGCGGCGGAGTTTCGAGGTGTAATGAAGCTGCATTCCGGAACTGTCGACGAAATCTGCACCGGGGAAAAAGGATGATGGAGTCGGAAGTGAGGAATGCCAGTATGATCTATATAGAGTTGAAGAGTACAGTATATCGAGAGTTCTAGAGAATCTATATAGGTAGACCCTGGCCTTTCGATCAGGGCTGCGCGATATTTCTGTAGCAACAAGTGACGCCGACGCAACTTGCTTCTTTTGTTCCAATAAGTCATCTCTCAGTCACTTTATTGACTAGACTGCAGTGTTCCCCAACCTTTTTGGGCCGCAAACTGGCAAGTTTCCAACAAAACAAACCAAAATGTTGCACTCACACCAACGTTTTGATTGAATATTATTAGGCAGGTATTTACAAGAAAAATTAGGCTAAGAATGTCATCAGACAATTATAAAGGTGGGCTACTTGGAGAAAGGTTTCTCAGAATGAAAAAAAATTAAAACTTTGTTTCAGCAGGTGAAAATTTGTGTGAAGTGTTATTAGGAGATTAGCCAACTTTTGTCTTTATTGCATAATTTAACTGCCTTTGTCCTTCTGAAATTTCAGGTAAAGGGAACAGATTTCACCCCAAATTTTGATGAATTTATTATGCTGAAAATTGCCCATGGACTGGCAAAAAACTTCTGCCAACTAGTGCCAGTCTGCAGACCACAGGTTGAGGAACTCTGGACAAGATTGTACAGTATTTGACAATTGACACTGAACTGTCTACATTTCAAAGACAAAACATATCTTTAGAATCGCCCTTACCTCCAATATGTTCGCGCAATCTTGAAAGATCATTCCAGAACTTTTAGTAGGGCACTGCTGGTTAAATGATTTTTTTTAAAAAATAGCATTCCCGTGTGTTCATAGAGGCATTTCACCTTTAAAAAAAGGCTCAGAAAATCAAGGAAGCCGAAATTTTAATTTGAAGTGCATTGCAGCTGGTTTGATGAATTTTATAATAAATGGAAATCTAAATACGTTTCATTTGATTTGAAGCTTATAGATACTTTAGTGGTGGATTTGCGGAATCGCTCGAACAACGGAGATGACGATAGTGCCTTTTACAAAAACTTGGAAACATTCTCATTGTTTCGGTGCAAAATAATTAGATGTCTCGGTTAACGGCCGCCTTGGATTTTAGAAATTCCGGCTGGTACTGTTTCTTTTATGTACCTTGCTTAGAAGTCCTCAGCTTCGCATTTTAGACAATCGTTCATGTGAGCATGGATTGTTTTTGGGCCGAGAGTATCTATGACTTTTTGTAGGGGATGAAAGAAATTTCAATCTTCTGGCCACTTAAAGTTGTTTCCTAATGTTCTGACTCTTCATATTTCATCATAGTAAAATTAATCAGCCCCGTTCTCCGAAAATTTAGAGTTTTAGACTACTGTATTTATATGTATGCATGAAAAAAAGAACGAAAAAAGAAGGTGGACTTCGGCTATTTTCTTAAAGGAATTCGTGCGCGAACTTTTCCTGGGGAACTGAGCAAGATTATAATACAGTACAGAAGTTGCATTGATATAAAATACTGTATTTTACAATTACATTCAGTCGATTAAAAAAAAAGACATGTGTCTGAAAAAATCGTTCACTCAGCCATGCGTGTACAGTATACTTCGATAAATATATGAAATTTTAAAAATGATGAAGTTCAAATCTTCTTTGATCAATTGGAATTTATAATTTATGCTTTACCTGAAAAGATACACAGCCGGGGTTCCAAGATGGACTTAACTATGAATACAGTATTAAAATTCTGTATTATGGCGTTTTAAAGTTTTATAACCGTTCTGGCGTTCTTCCAGAACGTTGAATTTATGTACAGTACCTGTATTTTGCTCCTTCAATCATGCGAAATCAAATCTTATATAAGTGATTTCGTCATTTAATATGTTGTTCATAATTTCAAAGCAAAAATCTGCAAAGATCCAAATTATCTAAAGGAATAATTCATTACTATACATAACAAATCTCAAGGAGACCCACAGAGAAATCTAAATTTTTGTGTGTGGATTTTTTTGTTTAAGGAACTGAATGTAATTGGTAGCAGAATTCTATAAAAAAAATGACGTATCATTCAATGGAGAACATTATTGAAGAGGAAATCGACCTGTATCCATTGATCTCAATATTATGATGATTTTGTCCTTAAAATAATAATTCTGGGAATGATTCACTGCATGTTTAATTCGATTTCTGTTACCTCTCCTTCCATATTGCTTGTATCATATTGACTCTAAAGGATGACCTTTCATCAAACGAAACATAAGGAACTCACTGGACAACAAATCCGGGTTATTGTAATGAACTTCCAACATGAGGAACGGGTTGAAATTCTCTCCCCCGATTCCCAATCCCACATCCTGCGAAAATAACAAAGGGATCACATGTTTTGCAATATGCTCTCGACACGGAAAAAAAAACCAAAAACAAACAAGCAAAATGATGCTGAGTTCGAGCATATTCACCTCGGGATAAACAAAATGTTCTGCTCCCATCGCCCACGCAGCCACAACTTTCCTGCAGACATTGATTTCCGGGGGCTTGTCATCAGCAGCGCATGGCCCGAGATAGTCGGGTATTTTCTGGTTATATTTGGCCTCACAGTGGAATACCTCCATGTGGTGAACGAACCCTTCGTTGCCTTCTTGGATCACGGGATTGTACTAGAAAAATACAAATCATGCACCAGTCAACGTTAATCGATCGACGTTATTGATATGTTTAGTGGGGCCCTGAGATGCGGACGTAAATGAGGACTTGGGCCTTATTGTCCGTATATATATTGGAGTGCGTCCATTTGTCGGAGCACGTTTTCCCACAGATTTCAATGGGAACATATTTCTTATTTCCACTCTTGATCAAAAATTGGAAATAAGTCCCCAAAATTGTGAATAACATCCTTTCCCAACTTCAAAATACAGAAAAAACTGTGCAAAAGAAAACTACAGGTGGCACCTTGCAATTCAACCCAAATCCATTGCTGAAATAGGGTCAAATTGCAAAGCAGTCAAATTGCAATACAATGTCAAATGGCATGTTTTCTAAATGGCATGTGACATTTCATGTCTCTCCACTCGTAAAATTGTGGGGCAGAGGTCAAATTGAGAGTCAAAATCCCAGAAAATTCAACCATCAAATTGTGGCATGCTTGAATTGTGAGGTACCATCAGTTTCAAGAATCTGATCCTTCAGCATAAAAAATAGTTCAAGGAGCCGAGCAAGGGACAACATCAAGTTTAGATATACACTGCATAGATGATGAAAAAACTCTGAAGCAAGAATTGAAAATCAACATTTTGACCATGAATTAAAGTACAGTAATTCTATGATGCAATTTATTTTATAATTTTTGTAAATATACAAATAATAGCTCAATTTGTTCAAGATGTAAAAAACATAATTTCATTTTTATTGCAATTTGTAAAAAATGACCGTATTATGCGACAGATTTAGTAGTAAAGTAGTTTTAAGTGTCCCTAACTCGAATCGTCCGGATGCCCGTGGCGTCAGTACGCCAGAGACCCACTGCATATCTCAACTTAGCGCGACATCTACAAAAAAAACAGACATCACGTTCTATAATATTTTACAGAGTTACTCCGGTTGCACTCGCAGCTTTCTGCAGTGATTACCGTGCTACCAGCCCACAAAAATCGTTAGAAACGATGCTGACGCTTCTGTGCTCCATTCTTATTCAATTAGGAAGATGAAAGGATTCTTTATAGGATTATATTCCCGTAGATCAATTCACTCCCTCATTGACCCATTAGAAAATTTTTCATCTCAGCAAGATTTAGAAACAAATTTCGAAAAATGTTACCATTGTTCGGAAGGAAATCCGGGAATAATCCGTCAGCAGGAAATACAGTAATTTGTATACGAGTAAATAAAAGAATAATTTGTCTTTTTGACAACAAATGCCGGATTTTTCCGGTGTATGCACAAAAAATTCTGACTTATTTTTCATCAAGTATAGAGAAATGAGCACTGAGTACCCTGCTTTCTCTCTTCGAGTAGGAACCTTTCGTATTGTACCATTAGTTGACCACGATTTTAATTTATACAGTAATTCTACTGAGGAAGAACAGATATGAAAGACCACCCCATCATTGTTGAAAATATAGCCTTAGCCTAAGCGGTAAAATAAATTTTTCCTTCTTATGTGAACAGGCAACGATCGACTCTAGGGGTCTGATGGACCATATTCCAGAAGCACCAACAATATTTGAATTTTTCTATACCAAGTATTCAGACGAAGCTAGATTTTGTGCGGTATATTTCGGAAGTCCAATAGATCCAAAATTTCTTCTGATGGGCAAGAATTTAAAAAATTAAGAATACCCAGCAATGGAAATCCTGAACCGCTTTACAGTAGACGAAGACTTGCACCCAATCTTGTAATAATGAACCATAAACAAAATTTTAGAATTGAGATTATCATGCTTCAAGGAACTTGAATGCCCACACAGTTTGATTTTTGAGGCATGAAATACCTCAATGAAACATCGTTATTATCTATGTAACAGTCGATTTTGAAGGAAGAATTCAATATTTTTGGCAACAATTAATTTTTCATCGGCATAAAATAGAAAAAAATTGTTTCAAAGATCAACTTCGACGGCAAACGATCCAAAAAATGGAATACAGTACTTTTTGTCGAATGAAAGGGATTTCTCACTTGGATCATGTGATGTTTTGCAGCGAATTCGGGGGGCAGTTTAAAAATCTTGCACAAGTAGGTCGTTTCCACAGGTTCAATGTGATATCTGTCCATGGTGATGTTGATTTCTTTGACAGTCCTGAGAGCTGATTTTCTTGCCGCCATGGATGCTTTATCTGACAGGTTCTTCAACAACTGAACCCGTTTCATCCCGTGGCGAGCAGCAGTTGCATTCACACCAGTCAGTCTCAACAATGGCCCCTCGCCTTGTGCAAATACCAAATGAGTTGTTCCATCCTGACAATAAATTCAACGCATATGAAACATGCATTTCTCGAAGCAATCAAATCAAGTTTAAAATTATTCTGGTCGGGTGACACTGCACCTCAATTACGTAGTCAGTCGGGTCACAAGTCTCGAATTTCCGGCGGTAAGTGAAAGCAATGTTCGACTTTCCTTCGTGAAGGAGTCTGAAGTCATCGCAATTCTGCTGTTCGCTGTCTTCAAACAAAATGCCGAGTTTGTTCGTGTTGGCATCCTGAAACCCCAGAAAAGTAATGCAGCATAACACTTTTAAAAACCTTATTAGCACAATATTCCACCGTTTGCTCACCAACACTGACGTTTTTTTCAATTTATAAGCGAGAAATTGATTTAATACAAAAAAATCTATGGTTATACACTTATACTTCAGAAGAGCGTGGGCACAAAAGATAAAAATATAAAAGGGCATTTGCATTAGAAATGTGAGAATGCAGTTAGGTTCGTTATTCATTTATAAACATCAATCTGACCTATAATAGACGTTCCTATACAACGGGTCATTTTCCGGTATTGATTGATTTTTCCCCATTTTTTCCGTTTCAAAATAATTATTCAAATCTAGAATCCAGGTGCAGTACTGCAGTTATTAGTGGAAAAATTAGTACCGCCCGAAATTACAGTCCACTGTTACAATCAATAAAATGCAATGACATTTTAGTTTATCTGGACAATGTCCTCAAATTTCGAATTTCAATAAATTTTAAACTAAAAATCTAAACAATTAACTCAACTCACGCTAAACAATGCCACTAGGAATTGAAAAAAAAATGGAGAAGATTCAAATCTGGTGGGTGGAAAAACAACCTTTACAGCAGTGCCCTTAAAAAAATATTTTAAGAAGTTTTAGAAGGTGCATTACTTATGATTTTTAATGGAGAAATGAAGATTTAAAATTTCAAACTGAGTAGACATTGGACTTTGACTTGTAGTCCCTTGTTTCTCACGGTTTTAAAAAATTATCATTTGAAAGTTGTCCTCGTTTCTGGGCTACACGTACCCTGCTTTTATAGATACTGTAATTCCAAAACGTCCCAGAATTCGGTAATTGTTCAGTACTTGGTTGCCCAAGCAGATTTAAGTGCAGGACAAGATACAATAAAAAATAAAGTCAATGATGCTGTATTAATGCCTGATGATGATGATGATGAATGAGAGCAACTCACGTCAAAGTGGACTTGATATTTCCAGTCGACCCAGAACACGCACAAATCAGCCTCTTTGATTTCACCGCGGTCCGAAAAGCCAAATGCAAGCCAATCATTCTGGTCACTGTCACTGCTTTTGAATTTCACCTCAAGTTGAACTTCTTGCTTCGCATAGTCCACTCTCCACTTGAGGCTAGGATCTCTTTCTGAACCCAAGTTCAAGTGGAATGTCTTCGTTGTAAGTGGGGAATCCAGGGACTTGAATGGTTTCCCTCGCAATGTCGATGGCGTAGAGTTTGGAGCAAACACAGTTAGCACCGTGAGAACGATGCAAATTGCGACAAACACCTTCATGGATTTAGCGGTCACCTTGTCATCTTCCGCATCCAGCTTACGTCAGAGGATCTCTGATTGGGATCAAAGAAGAGGAAACAATGAAGACATCTTACCAGGTTTTCCTTGCAGGTTATATGGTGAGACACCAGCATGTGGATGTCTCGACATACGGACGACTTGACTTAGCGACACTTACAACTTGAACAAATCCGTCCCAAAATATGGACATTGGCTTGAGGTACAAACTGTTTGCCAACGTTTTACAGAAAAATTAAAATATTTTATTTTAAATTTTGATGTCTCCTGAACAAATTCAGCTACTGTATTTATTTTCAAAAAACATTGAGAAAGCATTTCATCATAAATTTACTCTAATTCATTATCAAAAACAGGCTGATGATGATGTGCTTCTTTTTTCAGAGTTCTTCTATCCTTTGTGCACATCATAGCAAGCTTATTCTTGCTCATTCTTCTTCTTTGCATTTTTTGAGTTCCTTTTGATGCCATAAGATCTGATTGTATGTGATTGTTCTTTCAAATTGTTTCCTCTGTTGTGAAGTTGAGGGAAACAATTTTTATTCAAATTTTTAGAGGACATACTCCTAATTTTTTATAAACAGAAGATCCAATTAAATATGTTTGTATTGAAGTAATGTGAACTGACAAGTGAAAAATTCAACATAGGGAACAAATTATGTCTGCATCTTTGAGCACCATGGCACCGTAAAATTTTGTCACAGCAAATCTTTTGTTATAGCAAGTTTTTGGTTACAGCAGATTTTTTTTCTGGGTCCCAGCAGTTTATCCATAGAACCAATGAAACAAAAATCGAATCCTGACAAGCTCATTTTATGCTGCAATCTCAGTAAAACAAAATGTCAGCCTGATTCTGTGTTGAAGCATAGGGATTTGGCAGAAAAATGAAAGAAAATTCAACTTGTGCAGCATCAAGAATCCACCAAAAAGAACATTTTTTGTTGAGAGAATATAGTGGTAAAATGCACATCATGCTATATTTCATGAAAAGTCTTTGGCCTGATTTGAGGATGTCTGCCTTTCTTTCAGGTAAGCGGTATAATGTTAGAAAGAATATGCCTCAATACAAACTACAGTAATATGAAGGAATGAGTTAATTTGGAAGGAAGTACTGCATTTCTCCAGCTTGTACTTGAGTTTTATTCTATTTAAAAAAGAACCATCAAATTAGTCGGAATACAATGTCAATATGATGAAAGTTTATTTTAAAAAAATCTCTCCATTTCACCAGAGAGACTTGAAAACTGTGACAGGCACTGAATCATTTGTTGCAGAACTACTTTATATTATTTCTCATCCATTCTCCACAACATTTCTATCTAAATGCTGTTATTACACCATGAGTCTCAATGTAAGGACTTTTCTGCTATGACCATTTTTTTTTTTCAGGTCCCTGCGAGTTCATAGTGACCAGATCTTATTCTAATAGATGGATGATCATCACTAGATGAATTTTTTGGGGAAACCAATGCACACCCACTGAGTTAGAAAGCTTGTGTGGTGACTGCTGAGTGCTGAGTGCTGACTGATGCACAGGAGAAAACTGACAGGAAGCCCATCCTCAGAATATGGTTTTAGACATGAGAGGGCAAATAATCTGCACTCCTGTCACGATGTCTCATTTAGGGAATTCCTTTGCTAATGACACACGAGGAATTTCACCCCTTTCCTGGTGCCATTATTAGGGCAAACCCATTCCGGTGAGCGAATTGCTCAACCCTAAAAAAAAAAAGAAAGGCATACTTCGGATCCCCTCAGGCCCTCGTCCTGTGCTCGGCACATACGGAATATACTGAAGATCGTTCACAGTTTCATTGAGCCACCCTTAGCCAGTCCTTTCCCCACTTTGTATTACCTTCGGGCACCCCATCGAATTCGCGGGAAACGATAAGGGTTTCCAGCAGAAGGGACTTCGCCTGGGTTGCCAAAATTTTGCCTCATCCAGCGTTTGTCTGATTTCGGTGTTTTTCGGGTGGTAGCATTGTTTGTTCGAGCGTGGAATTGTAGCAAATCATCGATTGTTATACAGGTACAGTATTATACCCTTAATTTATAGCGACCCTTTTTTTTGACAGACAATGTCCCGGGAAGGTCGACGACACCAAATTTGGTTTGAATGTACTTTTGAAAACTGCGTGTTTTTTTTCTAAGAAGCGTCGGCGCCAAATTAATTAGGCAATGCTGAAGCTTCTATGAAATAACATAAAAGCCCTAAGAGCGAGATGAATGCTTGTCATTGATCAAAAGTTATCACAAAAATAATTTTGAACTGAGGAATTTTTCCGAGTTTTTCACGCGGCCATTATTGCTGAGATGATGGGTAATTTTTCCCCATGTGATTTGCGATTGTAATACAGTCATTTGCAGTCCACGCAACAAAATTGCGGATGAGGTTTTCATAGAACAAAATTTCCAGAAAGAGCGCCTATTAATGGCTTCCCTGCAATTCTTATACTGCAGTAATAAAATACTGCCTTGAGGTATAAATGGTACACTTGAACCTAGCTGTAGATATCTCAAATTGTTTTTTCTAATACCTCCCTACTTCGATTTCTTCATGTCCCTGCTGTCTGAATTCTCTTTGGAAAAATGCATTGAAAAACCTGACAAATGTGAATTTTTTGCTGATCCCTTGAAATTTGACTTGATGAGGATTGACTGTACTGGAAGGGGATGTGCACATCATAAGAGCAGCAATTTCAAAAAATAAATAAATGAAACAGCATTTTCCTATTTTATTCGTTAGGACAAAAGCTGAAACTGAAGAGTCAAGTTCAAACAGATTCAAAGTATCCGGAAATACTGTACTCATTTCCGTGTCATTCACATTGTCCAGTCAATCAGTTGTTTGTCTGTCTCAAGTTCACTCAACTATTGGCAGTTTAATAAAGCAGCTCCGAAATACCGTTTTAAAAAACGCAAACTGAAAATTCGTCATTTCTAGCGCAGGCTGCCAAGCTTCTGTCTGACATGTTTGGTTTTCAGACACATGATTCCGATTATTATGGGAGGAAAGTCCTCACTTGAACACCCGAATATGCCTTTTTATTATTCTATCTCTTATGATGGAATGAAACCACCTTGAGGCAGATCCTGTACAATACTGTGCTGAAAATCTGTAATGTTCTCCATATTTTGTCTACCGCAGGGGATTCCAGTTCCGAAAAATGCAAGCATATGAAAATAAAAAAAAACCTCAAAATCATCATTTCGGGGATTCCTGGAATTGCGGGCGCACTGATGACGGGTTGCGTCTGGGGAAACCAGACGCTGGGTTTCGTAAGGCGGGCGTGGAATAAATAGTAAAAGAAATAGGAATATTTTTGGCTTCAGAAGCTTACAGCTTCTCCGCAAAATTAAAAAAAAAGCGCGGCTCCACGAACGTGAAATTCTGGCTCTATTTCGAAAATTCAGAATTTAGCATTCACTTCGGGCCGACATTTTTTCTTGTTCTTCGCCAATTTCGGACTCCATATACTGTATTTGCAGCTTGTTATTCAAGGTTTCATTGAGTAGCCAAGCTTGCTGCCAGAATGTCAAGTGTCCGGATACTGTAATATTCTGCATGGTAAGTGCTTCTTATAGGTAAACATTCGGGTAGACGCTCATCAAAATCAAACCGCCAACAAATTCGAGTTTTCCGGGAACAATGCATCTATTATTTCTGAATCGTCGAAGAAGTAGTGAAAAGAGAAAAATGACCAGAAAAAAGGAGAGTCCACTAAAACGCATAGTCGTACTTTCGATTCATCAAATTTCTCTTGTAGTCATATTTACGACCACAACACCCTTCACTTTACGCGTGACC